CCACAAATTTGGTTCTTACTTCAAATTTTAAAAGATGAGTTTCATCCTTATTTTAGCCAAATAGAAGTTTGTGTTCTTCACTAAGTCATCAAGGAGCTTTGTTGGACCTGGCTTGGCAGACAGTAGCCAAGAGATGCCAAGGTTCAGAGAAAGAAATGTGTTGCTGGTGGGACTCAGGTGCACTGGCCCAACAGGGCGAGACAAGGATCTTGCCCATATTGTCTGACTCAAGCCAACTCTCTCCCTTTTGCATCCAATAAGTATTACTCAACAGTTGAGAAAACAGAACCAACAAACAGATTAACCAGTTGAAAGATGCACCTTCAAATTGTTTTTGAAAAATCAAGTCAATTGGAAATCAACTTGGGAGCAAAGAGAAATAAACAAATTACATATTTGCAATTCCACAATGATGATGTATTTAAACTTACACATAGGGGCTGAAGATTAGCAGACTGTAAAACAAAACAAAAAAATTTAAAGAAAACACATTCCAAAGCTTCAAATGAAGATAAATAGACTTAAAAATAGGAGCATTTTGATGTGTTGATTTTCTCAGGGAAAGAAACAAAGATAAAGAAAAATATCTTTTTCACAATATGTCCTGAAACTCATCCCAGCATTTTCCAAAAAGAGGTTTGTCCAACAAAAGTTTGAGGCAATTTCAAATTATCCATATACGGGGGGGGGGGGGGGGGGGGATGACAAAAGTAAGTTTACAGTTGTTCATGTGGAAAATAATATGACAATTAATAATAATACAAGAATAAATTATGCATTTCACGAACTCATAGCTGAAAACCTACTTTTGCCCCGCCCTGTATTTAATTATCAAGAAAGATATTGTTTTCCATATTTTATTTTATTTTAATATATTTTATTGATTTTTTACAGAGAGAAAGGGAGAGAGATAGAGAGTTAGAAACATCAATGAGAGAGAAACATCGATCAGCTGCCTCCTGCACATCTCCCACTGGGGATATGCCCACAATCCAGGTACATGCCCTTGACCGGAATCGAACCTGGGACCCTTCAGTCCGCAGGCCGACGCTCTATCCACTGAGCCAAACCGGTTTCGGCTGTTTTCCATATTTTAAAATTGAGAACTCAAGGCACTGCATTATTATGTAGCATATACAAGTCACTCAGAACAGGATATGAATGAAACTGAGGTTTCTTGATATCTACTGTACCTTGGTTCCCCATTATCATGGAAAATTCTGTCATGGCCAGGGTTCTGTCCCATTGCCATGAATACCTACCGCAGAGCATGACACATAGTGCCTGCTCAATAAATATTTGTTAAATGGCTGAGTAAACCACTCTGTCCTGGGCTCAGAAATGCCATTTGCTCTTCATTGACTGTCTGGAGTTTCTTCCAACTACCAGTAGAGAACAATATAGAACTTGCCAATATCAGTCTCTTGGAAACTGAATATATAGCAAATTGGCAGGTTGCATTGTCCCAGTTAAGCTTTAGAAAATAAATTTCTTTTTAGACATCTGTTTGCTCAAAACTCTTGGGTTTTGTTAATGGTAGTATTTAAAGACAATTATTTTTAGTTGACATTTTCCATTTTAACAAGGAATGAACAAACCATGTGTTGTTGCCCTACTCTGTCTTGCACTCGTATATAAGGGGGGCTGTGGGCTCTGGTGTCTGCTGGTGAGGTGGGGGCCTAAACTAATCTCTGCTTGGCTGGTCACGCCTTTCCAAATCTTCACATTCTACCAACTCGCAGCAGCCTTCTGGAGAATCTCTAGCATCTAGAGGGTTCTCACCATACCCCATGCTGGAGTCTGCCCCGTTTATGTTTGGATAACAGATTTCTCTATGGAAATGGTATAATCTAGTGTATCTTCCAGTCTATTAATCCCTGTGTGGAATCCAGATCATTGACCTACCATCCAGATGCAGATTCAGTATATGTTGCCCTGCTATCAATGTGCCGATCGCAGTGCCAGCCACTTTTACACACCTTGCCTTCCTTCACCCTCTCAACAACTTTGTGCGCTAGGTGTGAGTCCAAGTGACAAATGAGTAAACTGAGGCTCAAGTAAATGAGTAAAACAAGGTATATCACTTGCATATAGACATGCAAAGGGTTATTCCAAGCTTCCAGAATTATTGTTGTCTTGGCAACTATATCACTCTTCTAAAATGAAGTTTGTTGTATTCTTTTTATATTATTCCAAAAGCAATGCATATTCATGACAGAAGTCTCTTAACATAGAAAGAAGAAAAAGAGAAAAGGGGGAAAAAGGATGAAAAGTGGCCATAATAACAATCATTTAGAGGCAATTACTGGTGATGCCTTGCTGTATGTCTTTTAGAGATTTTTTCCTATGTATATTTTTAAGGGATCACACTGTGAGTGTTTTCAAAATCCTATTTCCTCAACTAACAATTAGGATCATATTTTATGCCAATAAAAATAGACTACCACATAATTTTAATGGCTGTCTAATATTTGATCTTATTAATATACCATTATTTATTTACCAGTAATCAATTACACTTTTAAGCTGTTTCCAACGTTTTGCTATAATGAATCATACTGCAGTGAACTGCATCACAACAGTTTTGTGCCCACATCCTTATTAATTTACTTGAGATAAATTCCTAAAGTGGAATTTCTGGATCAAAGGCCATGCACATTCTGAAGATTTTTGTATCTAATATATTTTATTGATTGATTTGAGAGAGAGAGAGAGAGAGAGAGAGAGAGAGAGAGGGAGAGATTGAGCTGTTGTTTCATTTATTTATGCATTCTTTGGTTGTTTCTTGTATGTGCCCTGACCAGGGATCAAACCCACAACCTTGGAGTATAGGAATGACACTCTAACCCACTGAGCTACTTTGGCTTATATTTATTGTGTCTCTTAATTTGAGCCTAAGAGTAAAGCTCTGGCTGGTGGAGGCATTTTTAAAAGAAGAAATGTTGCCATGTTTCCTCTTCTCTTTTCTTATGTTTATCTTACCCCTTATGACTTGTTATCATTCCCCAGTCATCTCTTCTTCCAGTTATTTGCAGTCTCTGCATTCATACTTTGCCAGTAATTCACTTAAGACAGCCACGAGGGCAAAGCTAAAACCTGACTTATGTCTCTATGTGAATAATGATTGGTCACAGATAGCCACAGAACCATGAGCAGGCAGATATGTAATTATTAGCATTTGGTAGCTGAACAGATATTTTTGAAACAGGAAATTCTGAGCCCAATAATTCAACTATTGAAGACTTAATTCTATCTTCTCTCCATTCCTTTAGATTTATCTTTGTGATTATGATGCTTCCCCTCAGTCATCAGTCCCCAATATATTAAAAAATAATCCTTAGACATATTTTTCTTTTTACATATTTTTTTGGGGGGAGGAGATGTGTTTGCACATTGTTTACAGATATGGTTCAGGTTAAGTGATTTCATCCCCAATGTTTAAGTGCAATTAGGGCTTAAAACTGTCTGTAAGAAATGCTGTCATTTCAGTACCTGCAAGAAGCATATATTTGAAAATGAATTCATTTCTGACACATGAAAGGAATTTTTTCTGATGCTTTCACATCTCCATTAAAGGCCTGATTGCCCAGTGTCACAACCCTTCCTGGCCATTTTCTTCGGTTAATGGGAAAGTCTTTCCTCTTTAGCACATTAATAAATGAATGATCATAATGAAGGCATGACTATAAAGCACAAACCCAGAAACACCAGATATATTTTGATGGCTTCAGGGCAATTCTTGTTACAATAAATACTATTAAAATGCCGAGACAAACAAAGATGGCCAACCTGCAGCCAAGGGCCCCTAGCAGGCTGCGCTCGCTGCTGCTGGCGTCTCACATAGCAGGATGCTTCGCCTCATCTGTTGCAGCAGGGTTTTATGTGCATGCACGTTTCCCTGCCAATTCAGACAATAGCAATTCTTCCTCAATTAAGGTCGTCTTATTTTAAAACCGTAATAGTGCATACAAATAAACGGTGTAGAAGACAGAAGCAAGACTTCTAGGAAATGCCCTTGGTAACCATGTCTCCCTCTCCTTTTCCAGAATCAAATCTGTGTTTTGAATTCTGGTCACCTTTCTCCTGGGTGACTACAGTCATCTTGCAATCCTCCCTACATCCAAATGCGTTTCACTACAATAAATCCTGTAGCTCAAGCGATGGCATAAATACCTAATCTCTGGTATATTATTGACATACACAAGTGAGAAATCATAAAGGAAAGTGGAAAATTAAAACAGTAAAGGAAGATGGGAATTAAATATGAAGGAGGAGGCATGATTTGAGTGGGTGAGGGAACGAAGTTTGTGCCTACCCTCACACACACCACCACCCCATCTACCCTGACTAGATGGCCTATGCTGGGAAGCAGAGAGAGAGAAAGAGAGAGGCAGGGAGAGAGACTTGACTGCAGTTTCCTTACTAGGTTTCTAAGCTGAGACTTATTTAAGGAGCAGCCAGGAGAACAGCCACTTTGAAGAAATAGCTTAATACTCTGAACTTTCCCCCCCACCCGTGCTTCTCTCCTCCATATCTCATACCCAACTCCCCGGGGGACGCAGGCAACCCCCTCCGTCCCTGTAGCTAGCGGCCCCTCCCTCGCTTTGCTGCAAGAGCCTGCAATTGATGTAAGCGGAAAAACAACAACAACATAAAAGCAACCTAAATGGAAACAGCAGCAAATTTCAGTGTCTCACAAATGGTAGAGAAGAAACTGCACATTAACCACTCCAGTTGCTCTCCTTGCCGATTTCTTTCACTCTGAGTGAAAGGAAGGGACGGGAAGGACACCGAGGGGTGGGACAAGCTAAGCTCGGCATTTCCTCTCCAGCAGTCTCCGCAGTGCCGTGCACCTACATATGCCTTGTCCGTGTGGCTGTTTTTGTGCTTTGGAGTTTAGCCCTTTTTTAGAAAATACAGGCTAGCTCCTAAGACGCTGGTGTTTTAAGTCCAACAGAAGCGGAATTGAACCCACGCTCTATCATTTATTAGCTGTGTGGCCTACAGTCAACCTCTCAGCCTTCAGAGTTTCAGTTTTCTGTGAACTGTGAGTAATCATAATACCTACATCATAGAATTACTGTGAATTTTAAATGATATAATCCCCAGAGAGTCTGCATTATAATGCCTGGCCCAAAGTAGGCACTTAATAAATTATCATTATTGCTCCTGTGGCTGCTGTTATTGTTATTATTACTGTTCTTATTTTCTTAGTCACTAGGAACATAAAATGTGCCTCGTTTTCCAGTCCTCTCCCCGACTGTCTGGAAGGGCAGGTAATAAACGTTTCTGACTTATTAGAGGATATATCTTTTTAAACATTTTTGTGTTACTGGCAATATTGCAGATGTCTCCCATTCCCCACCCTTTGCCCACCTCCATCCAGGCCCTGCCCCCCTTCCTCTGGCCATCACGACACTATTGTCTGTGTCCGTGGGCTATGCATTATGTTCTTTAGCTAATCTATCTACTTTCCTTTCTCCAGTCCCCCACCCCCGCCCCTTGACATTTGTCTGTCTGTTTCATGTAGAGGATACATATTCTAATCAACTATTGAGCCTAGTAGGGCTGCTGATTCATTGTCCCTGTATCATACATTAGGTTATGTTCTATTCTAGTTTCCTGGAAACTGCTTATCTCTTGCCCAGAGCACCAGAAAACTAGAACATTTATTCATCAAACGTGTCTTGAACACCTGCTCTATATGCTGGGCATTGTGCTATGCCCTGAAGGTATGATTGTAAACAGGAGGGAAATGGTCCCTATTATTGAAATGTTCCCAGTTTGGCTTGGTTTATTGGGAGGAGGGGCTATGTGAATAGAGAGGGATGGATATAGTAAGTGCTATGAGAGAAATTAGTAGCAGATGCTAAGAATGTAAGATCATAAGAAAGTCTGGGTGAAGTGACAATGTCAAAAGTCTTTCCAGAGTAACTGTCTCTAGATCTATGTTTGAAATTACATAGAGAAATTATGGGGGGGGAGGAGTGAGGGGAGGTTATTCCAGACAGATCTAGCAAAATTGTGCAAAATGTAGGCTACAAAAGACTAGAGAGCATAAAAACTAACAAGTAGATAAGACTGATTCAAGAATAGGAAAATGGGGAAGAGAGGGAGAGAGAGTAGGACCTGAGAGGTAAATGGGGGCCAGATGGTGAATGTCCTTAGAAACCATTTTAATGAGTTTGCTCATTATTCAGAAGGAAATAGGAAATTTGGAAGTGATTTAAGCACCCTGATATCAGGGAGGAGAATTCAGTGTTGGAAGGAAAAATTGATAGACGTGTACAGCAGCAAAGACACTATTGCAGTAACCAGAGGGGAGAATGGATGAGGCCTGAAAATAATGGCAGTGTCTTAGGGAGGAGAGCACACACTGAATAGAGTTCTAAGGTTCGCTCTGTCATCTCTGATTTCTTGTGTTTTAGTCCAGTTAACAGATTCTATGAGCAGCTATGCATTCTGTGTCTACAGAAATGAGCAAGGCACCATGTCTCTGCTTACTAGTAGAGAAGATCACACACACACAATTCGCCTAAGAGGGGGAAAGAAGGGCAGGAGTGGCACTGGGAGCTAAGTGCTGCAGGAGTAGTGAGGAGGGCAGCATCACTGCTAGTTGTAGTGATTTGTCAAGTTAGGGAGAAACAAGTGGAGACGTCGTCTAACTTAGTTTGTAAAGACACATGCATTAACCAGAATGTCAGGCTTTGAAAAAGTTACTTTTTTAAAAAATATTTTTTTATTGATTTCAGAGAGGAACGGAGAGGGAGAGAGAAATAGAAACATCAGTGATGAGGGAGAATTATTGATCGGCTGCCTTCTGCACGCCCCACACTGGGGATCGAGCCCACAGCCTGGGCATGTGCCCTGACAGGGAATTGAACTGTAACCTCCTGGTTCATAGGTCAACGCTCAACCACTGAGCCATGCCGGCTGGGTAAAAGAGTTATTTTTTTTTTGTTATAAGAAGTATTCTAGAACATTTAAACAATATTTTAGTCTCTCTAATTAAGAAACACATAGTATTTCTGTTAACTTTGTGTACCAGAGATACGAATCAGTATGTCACCGTTATGTCAACTGTCAGCATAAGGATTAATGGCATAAATGTTGAGATATTTTATTGTAGGAAACCAGTAGCTACCTATTTGACAAGAATAAAATATAATGTCTGGGATTAAAAAAAAAAAAGAAAAGAAACACATAGTAAGGTAAGCTTGTTATTATTACCAGGAGTATAGCTAGGTGAGTATGGAACCAAAATCAGGAGAATTAACAGGACAGTCTTAATTAGCTCCAGTCTGAATGTTTGTATCCCCCTAAAATTCACATGTTGAAAACCTATTGGCCAAGGTGATGGTGTTAGAAAATGGAGCCTTTGGGAGATGGTTAGGCCACGAAGGCTGAGCCCTCATGAATTAGATGAGTGTTCTTATAAACAAGGCCCCAGAGAGCGAATTCACCCCTTCCACCAGGTGAGGACACATAAAAAGCCTGCAACCTGAGGAGGGCCCTCACCTGAACCTGACCATGTTGACACCCTAATCTGAGACTTCCAGCTGCCTGTGAACAATACATTTCTGTTATTTATAAGCCACCCAGTCTCTGGCATTTTGTTACAGCAGCCCAGGCAGACTAAGACTGCCACTATATTTATAGCTTCAGAAAGCCTTCCTGAAGCCATGAGATCTAGAGAACAAATAAGAATCAGTCACACAAAGATCAAGGGAAAGAGTGTTCCAGGCAGAGGACACAGAACAATTGAAGGCCATGATGTGAGAAATTCCTCAGTGTGAACTGAAAAAAAAAAAAGGCTAACATATGACTGGGGAGGAGAGAGTAATGGGGAGAGTAGTGAGAGATGGCCTGAACCTGAGAAGCCTTGTAAGCCATTGCAAGATTTTGGATTTCACTCTAAAGGCAACTGCAATTTACTGAAATATTGTAAAGATGGGCCTGACGTAATCAATCTTTCATTTTGAGATTGCTCTGGCTACAGATTGGAGCAGTATTTGAGAGTAAATAGATGTGGAGGCAAAGAGACTAGTTAGGAGGCTCTTGCAGTATTCCGGGCAAGAAGCCACAGTGAGTAGTGACTAGGAATGTGGAGAGAAATACGTAGGTGGGAGAATCCATAAAACTTGGCAAATGATTGAATAGGGAGTGGAGTGAGTCTAAGATGACTCCCATATATCAGGCTTGAACAACTGGGTGGATGGTGATGCTATTGACCGGGAGGTTAAACACTGGAACAGAAACAGACCAGTGGGATGGAAAAGATAATGAGTACTGTTTGGAACAGGTTGAGTTTCAGTTGCTTGTGTGACATCCAAATGGAAATGCCAAGTTGGCAGTTGAATAAGCAGATCTTAAGACTCAGGGTGGAGTGCTAGGCTAGTGAGCTCTATTAGAGCGACATAGCCCACTAATTACAGTCTCTTCAACTACCCCTACAGATAGCTAATATCATCCATGTGTACTGATTATAATCACTGTTTCTCACAGAGGATCATTTCATTCCATGTTTATTTACTGGTTTCAGTAATCAAGAAAGCTTTATGGAGAAGGTGGCAATTGATCTGGACCTCTGAGAGGCAAAGATGGTGATAAAAAACAGGGTATTCCAGGCAAAGAGGAGAGAGACAAAAATAACAACTGATTGAGAAAGATGAGTTTACCCAGTTGATCATAGCAGAAGGATTATATATGTATTCAAGTTACTATGTGCCAAGAATTATGCTAGATACTAGGAATATAAAGTTGTATAAGGTGTGGAGTACTTTGAAAAGCCCTCCCTCAACCTCCAGGCTAAGTTCATCTTTCAATGCCTACAATGGTGGTCCTTTAAAAACAAAAGTACTACTGCCGAAACTGGTTTGGCTCAGTGGATGGAGCGTCAGCCTGCGGACTAAAGGGTCCCGGGTTCGGTTCCAGTCATGGGCGTGTACCTGGGGTTGCGGGCACATCCCCGGTAGGAGATGTGCAGGAGGCAGCTGATCGATGTTTCTCTCTCATCTATGTTTCTGACTCTCTCTATCTCTCCCTTCCTCTTTGTAAAAAAGTCAATAAAATGTATTTAAAAATTAAACAAAAAAGTACTATTATGAATTTATGGATTTAAATATTTTTGTGCCGCTCATCACAATTTGAAGGTGTTCAACTTTGACATATACTACAGTGAATGCTAACCTTCCCTTATTCATTAGGCTTTAACTGTCAGGCCCATTTATGACTCATTGCAGCAAAGATGTTCTCCTTTTAGTCAATCCTGAGTGCCCTCTACTCAGTCTTATTATTGCACCGGAACCACATTATACTGAAAGCACTTGTTTCTTGTGTCAGGTTGCTCCGCTATAATGAGAATTCTCCCTGTCTTATTCACCATGTTTTCCTGATGCCTAACACAGTCATTAGTCATGGTAAATATTCAACTAAAACCAAGCAGCTTATAGGCTAGTGGGAAATAAGTAGAAGTCAAAGCTGGAAAGAAATGTATCGCAGAGAGATCTCAATGTCAAGAGATGGTGTTAGGATTATATTGGTAGGCAATGGGCTATCAGCAAGTTTTTGAGCCTGATGTTGAAACAATAAAAATGTGTATTGGCAATATTGATCTAGATGCCACATCTAGAAGGCAATGACAGAGGCAAGATGTCAGTCAAAAGGGTACATACCACAGCTTGCTGGCACAGAGTAGGCACTCAGCAGATATTTACTGAAGAAAAAAATGGATTCACAGTAGGGGCAGAAAATAAGGAATAGATGCAACTTTTAGTAAGGAATTGGATGCACAAGTATTTCTACCACCAACAGCATTATGTATATTTTATACTGCTCTCGTGTGAAACCCTTAGAACAGGATCTCACTGTTTTAGCGTAAACTACTTTGTTCCACACATCTCTTTTTAAAGGTTCTTTCAATGAATTAATTCTAAGGACATGATGTTATTTTGCATGGTTTCGTTGGGAACCTGGGTCATTTAGCGGCATGATTAATACTGATGCCATCAGGCAACAGACCTATGCACTGAAGGTTTCAATTTAGCAAAAAGGAAACAGCTGTAATAGTGATTACTGTGTGTGTGAAAATTTTCAGGAGTAGGAGACTGGCTATTATTGATTAAAATGGGCATCATTCTTCTCTTTGTTATTTTGTTGTGGAGACAACTAGACATTTGCATTTGATTATAGCTGTTGTGTAGCAGTTCTGCTTTCTCCTAACTTGCTCTTTGGTATCAAGTATCATAAACAATCAATCAGAACATCAAAACATCCTATTTCTAGATTCCTGCAGCCCAGAAGCCCAGTGACAACAAGCTGAGATTATCTCTGGATCTAATTAATATGTGGATCTAATTATTGTGCTATATCGGTTTGGTTTTCCTAAATCAAGCCTGTTGGATCTATATTGTACCTAGCTGGGTTTTGAACACTGCAATCAAATTGGTCAGTCAAACGGAATGGACAAATTGTATTTAACAAAAACCAATGAAAGAGAAGGGAATGCAATTTTCTCTTTCCTTGGGAAACTACTGGCTTATGTAACTACTATTTTCTGGTGAATGTTGTAAGTTTTCATTATGAAGGCATTGGATTTATTTGAAATCCATTTTAAAAAATCAATACATCTATTCCACCTGAGGGTTATTTTATGATGAAAACAAATAGCATTATTTTT